GAGAAAGTCAAATTAAAAGGGGAGGCCTTGTCACATTTAAATTTGGCAAGGATAAAAATAATTTAGGGGCAGCTGGGTGGCTCAGTCAGGTAAGTGTCCCACTCTTGATTTTTGGCTCAGGTTGTGATCTCACGGTTTGTGGGATTGAGAGCCCCATCGGGATTCACACTGACAGTGTGGGGGCCTTAGAATTCTCTCTAACCCCCTCTCTCTGCCCCTCCCCTGCGTGCATGTGCTCTCTCTCAACCTTAAAAAAAATAGTTGGGTAAGATCTATTGGGAATGGTTCTTAAATATTGGCAGAAGCATAAATTGCTACAACTCTTATGAAGGGCAATTTTGAGAACTTATCAAAATTCAAAATGCTAATTCCCTGTGACCTAGCCATTCCAATTTAGGAATTTATCCTACAGATATATTCAAGTGTATATGAAATGATACATGGACAATCTTCACTGGAGCACTGTTCTGCTGAAATGTGCCTCAGTGGATGGCTGGTTAAATACAGTGTGGTACATCAAAGAAGGAATGGAGTTAACAGCCATAAATAAGAATAAGGGTGTTCTGTTTACAGGACAATCTTCAACAACAATAGCTAATACTGTTTTATTGGTAACTGTGGGCCAGGCACTGCTTTAAATATTTTACATATGTTTAATAGATATTACCATCTCCACTTAAATAACTTGCTCCAAGTCAAAGCTATTGAGTAGTGGCACTGGGTTTCAGCCCAAGCCTTTGGGCTTCAAAGTCCATGTGCCTCTAAACTCTTCAAAGACAGTATCTTCTGGGGTACCTGAGTGGCTCAGTCAGTTAAGCATTGGACTTTGGCTCAGGTCTTAAGTTCACAGTATGAGTTCAAGCCCTACCTCGGGCTCTCTGCTGCAGAACTGAGCCCTACTTTGGATCCTCTGTCTCCCCCTCTCTTTGCCCCTCCCGGCTCATGCGTACTCACTGGCTGTCTCAAAAATAAGACATTAAAAAAACGAAAGGACAGTATCTTCAAATGACAAAAGCAAGATGCTGTTGTGTAGAAAAAGATCCCTCTGGAAAGATAAGCAAGAAACTAGTTGCATCTGGAGAGGGTAACTGGGAGCCAGGGCTGGGCGAGGGAGCTTGTATTTTCACTGTTGATTTGTTTTTCCATGTTTGTGTATTTCAAAATAATACTTAATGCTGCAACAGACACGCTTGCATGTACATGCTGGCTTACTTGCTATATATTTAAGTGAGTAGTGATCAGTAGTAGAGCATTGAGTCAGCTTCCTTTAACCCTGATCCCCAGAGATTGGGGTTTCAGGAAAAGCCCCCACCCCCATCCTGGGGTGAAGCCTTGACATTTACAGAAGGGTGTGTCTTCAGGGCCACAGCCACATGCCTGCAGCATATCACATCAGTCAGCAGCACAATCTTCTCTGTCCCTTAGAGGCATGTATTAATTCCACTATCTCACAATTAGGTTGAAGACTGAATGTAATAAACAAAACCTAATGAGCACCAGGAAGAAGAGCCAGCAAATGAATTTACTTTGCAGCTGTTTCTCAAAGTTGTAAGTGTGTTTTAATTGAGGGTTTTCTTAGAAATATTAGCATATGAGAATATCTGCAGATCTGGATCTTGCATAAGAAGTGCACATTAAAATCAGTCGTAACTGTGGAAATCCAAATATATATTCCTTTACAAATGGCATAATCTAGATAGAAGCAAGTAAACAATAAGCTTGGTAATTAGGCAATACAAAGGAATCATTTATTAAATTGGTTATATTCTGCTCTGGTCTTAGCTTGTGATACACACACACTCACACCCCTGAACTTCCTAGAAGAAAAACAGGCATTTTTCATACTAAGCTTTAATAATATTTCCATCAGTATTTGGTTAGATTTTCCCAACATATTCTAAAAAGTTTGTCTGCAATTCCACCATGACATATGCCACGCATTGCTGTCCCTTCTTTCACTCTGCCACCCTTTGGTCTTCCATCCACTTTCCAAGCCAGAGCCCTGCTGCTCAGTAATCTCTTTGGGATGACCTGGGGGCATTCGAATCTGAGTCAGAGGCTCTTGGAGGCTGTGTATGAGGTTTTCTAATTCAACCCTTATCCACTGCTCAAAACAACCTCTTGCTGTATGTCACCCAAACACCCCCACCAGGGGAGAGACCTCCCTATTTCCATGTCATTCTGTTCTTTTTAGACAGCTCTGTTGATTGCAAAGTTCCGAGAGTGAACCAAAACTGATCTTCCTGTAGCTTTTACCTACTGATCTGACTTCTCATCCCCTTGTTGTTGGTCAAGTATTTGAAAAGCAGTCTTGCTCCATAACTTCTTCCCCAAGCTAAACATTTTGGTTCTTCACTTGTTTCCCATAGGCTTCAAGCTACCTTTCCATCTAGGTCATTTTCTTATGAGTGACCTACAATTATCTCTATTCTTTTCAGATGAGAAAGAACCCACCAAAGTGGATTTTCCACTCTGGAAAAAATATCCTATGTCTATGGAAATGACAGTGATAACACAGATTCCATTCAAAAAGGCTTTCACCTCTCTTATTTGAGTAACTTCCCTGTGCATCCTAGCTATCAACGGACAAAAGCAGAGAAGGAACATGTTTTGCCTGCTGGCCCCTTACATGAGCCAGTCTGAGCTGCACTGGAGATGAGGGCCTGAGAAGCTCCCCCTGATTGTCCTGAAGTTACCTGCAGCTTGTTATAATACTAAGATTTCTTCCTAGGGTCAGTTTTATGCCATCTTTTGAATATACGATGTATGCACCCGCATGCCTACATGCTAGGTGTGCAGTTGAACCAAAAAATGCCTATGCAAGCCTCCTGCCCCTTCCCCCCAGTACACTGAATGAAAGCTTCCTGTACTAACCCCACGGGGAGACAGTGCCTTGAGAGCTAGCTCCCTGTCTCCTTCCTTGGAACAATAAAAAGTTCCTAATTTTCAACATTTCCTGAAGTTTTCAGTCTGACCTCTAGAATCTGTTTACACTAAGGCACTTCCTCCCCTTCCCACACGTTGTGTAGTTGGTTTCTAGACCATGAGCCATACCTTGCACTCACTCTCCATATATTTCACCCTCTTAAATATCGCCTGTTGATCTAATGTTTTAGAGCTAATTTTTTTCAGCACACACTGCCACTTTCTCCTTGGGCTCTGAGTCATTCTACTCCGTTTGGCTGGTATGCCTTCAATATGCAAGTTCAAGATCTAATTCATCCAAATTGGTAAAACCTGGAGCAACCCCAGAAGCTCATCCTCCAGGGGCCAGAATCAATCATCAACAGCTACCCAGTCACCCAAACAGCCATCACTTCCTTTCAGTTTGTTCTGTTCTGTCATAGCCAAATGGCCATTCCAAACGTTTTTGTCTACCATTCTAATTTCCAATCCTCTCTCTCAGAGGGCAAGTGGAATTTGGGGCACAACAAATTTAAACATCAACATAGGTAATGACTAATAAAAAGTGTTTAAATACTATGCTTTAGAACCAATTTAGTATTTTAATTCTGAAAATCAAGTATTTTACATAGATTTTCTACATAGGATGCCTACATGGAAGTATAGTGAATTCTTCTGAGTTTAGCATGAATTATTTTCACAATGTACCTTACTTGAAAGAGTTACTCGTTACGGCCATGAACGGTGTGTACCAGCCTGTCACACATAACTGCTAAAGCTCCCTCATCCTGTAGCAAACTACTTCAGGTCAGTGGTCAGTCAAACCTACAGTCCTGACATCTGCTGATCATAGACAGTGCACCTGCTGGAGAAGGCTGAGGCCACAGGAGGTACAGGGACACCTGGAGGGGAAGTCCCTTGTTTAGCTTTGTGGCCTGAGGAAATGTATACCACCTCTGGGCCTCAGGATCTCCTTTGTGAAACAGGACAATACTACCTGCTTCACAGGATAAGAGTAGATTAAACGGAACCAATGAGATGATGAATGAGTCAGGACTACAGTAGATATTAAATACATGGTTTCTCTCTTATTCACAGATATTTGTGACATTAATAATAACGTCATGCCCTGGGTGCATGGGTGGCTCAGTCGGTTCAGCATCCAACTCTTGGTTTCGGCTCAGGTCATGATCTAGAGGTTTGTGGGATCTGGCCCCATGCGGGACTCTGTGCTAACAGCAAGGAGCCTGCTTGGGATTCTCTCTCTGCCCCCTCCCCTGCTCTTATTCCAACTCTCTCAAAAATAAACAGATAACGTCTTGCTCAGAGTCACCTTAAATGAGAAGAGTGTTTGCGGGAGGCAGGCGGGTGGGGGTCACTAAAATTTATTTGATAGCTAAGAGAAATCTAAAAACCCATTTAAGCTTATTGAATATTCATATTTTAAAAGCTTACTTCAAATTTACATTAAAAAAATCTGTTATATTGCTACTGTAGAGCTACTCAGGCACCCCAGGAAGCATGCAATTTAAAAGTCTTAATTTTCCAAGCAGCTATGTCTAACTCAACCTTTCTAATAACATTCTCCTGTGGAATAAATGGTAGTAATTTATAATTAATTTCACCAGCATCTAAAGTAGACTGAAACTTTTTCCAGAGAAATATTCACAACTTCACAGAAATTTCCAGTGTCTCTTTCTGCAATGTGTCAAATCTTTAAAAAGACCTAATTGAGAAAATAACTAGGGACTACCACCATGGCTGATGTACCATGATATTACTTCTTTCATGCTCGGGAATGGGGTACTATAAATAACTTGAAAATTATATGTTAGAATGAGTCTAAATGTTTTACTTACCAACCTCTGTGAGGGAAATTAGCTGGCCTTTTAGTGAACTACTTGTCTTCCCATAATATTATTCTAGTTTATTGCTAACAAGTTTAGTTCACTTAAAAAAATGGAATATGAAATGCTAAACGAGATCTTTCTTTACTGAATAAAGAGGGTAAACACAGAGGCATGTTACAGTGTTCTTGATTGTCAGAACTAGGACCCTCAGAGAGGATCAAACTGCTCTATATTAACTGGTTTTACCTGCTGGATCTCTAACTGGTTCCCAGTGCAAGTCACTGTCTTTTTCTCTGATCCATCCACAAAGCCCATGGTCGAAATTACAACTGTGTATCAGAACACCTATGAGAAAATGACCAGAAAGATGAGTAGACCGCAAACCCAATGACTAACAATAAAAACAAATTTGTTCTCTGTACACATGTTCTCTTCTAGCCACATAGAACTACCCCACCAGATATCAAAGATCACACGAATCCTGACTTAGAACAATTGTGCCTGTGTGTTTAGCTGTAAGAATAGAACATGCCAATGTTGCCAAATTATGACCTTGTTACATCATCAGTTACAAAACATGACTTCCTCCTCACAGTTGAAGTACAGCTTTAATATTTTTTTAAAAGAAGATAATGATGATATATCATGATTTTCACTTAACAATTGTGGAACCGCAAAGGAAACCGAGTTGTAAAAAATAAAGTATGTTTTTCCCAGACATAACTAAATAATCTACAATTTATTTATTTATTTATTTATTTTCTTTTCAACGTTTTTATTTATTTTCGGGACAGAGAGAGACAGAGCATGAATGGGGGAGGGGCAGAGAGAGAGGGAGACACAGAACCGGAAACAGGCTCCAGGCTCCGAGCCATCAGCCCAGAGCCTGACGCGGGCTCGAACTCACGGACCGCGAGATCGTGACCTGGCTGAAGTCGGACACCCAACCGACTGCGCCACCCAGGCGCCCCTATAATCTACAATTTAAAAGCCATTTTCGGGGCGCCTTTGACCAGGTCACGATCTCGCGGTCCGTGAGTTCGAGCCCCGCGTCTGGCTCTGGGCTGATGGCTCGGAGCCTGGAGCCTGTTTACGGTTCTGTGTCTCCCTCTCTCTCTCTGCCCCTCCCCCGCTCATGCTCTGTCTCTCTCTGTCCCGAAAATAAATAAACGTTGGGAAAAAAAAAAAAAAAAAAAAAAAAAAGCCATTTTCATGAAATGGAAGGAGACACTAAAATGCCATTGTAACACTACAAAAATGTAAGTATCTACCTGGATCATCCTTCGCTTCATCGTCTGCACTGACTCCTCTTTCAATTTCAAATATTTCAAACAAGTCATTTGAAGGCTGCCGTGGAACTGCAAGAGAGAGAAGTTTGGTTTGGTTTGAGGAGGTATTGATAAAGGGCCATGCCTTTAATCACAGCGTAGGGGGAGAAGACCCAGGCATTTCATTCATCCGAAGAATCCAAAATATTTAATTAAAAATATTACATGTCACGTTAAGATTCACGCGGATTGTTCTACAGGCACTTCTACTATAACACTTATCGGAGTACAATTTTTGAAAATGTTTTTCAAGTGTTTCTAAAAGTCAACGTAAAAAAATTAAAAAGTCTTTGCCTGAAGAATACATTTTAAAAGAGCTACCCGTTTCTGGCAAAATATTCACCTCTGTCAAATTCTAGAATTTGTTTCTATGAAAAGATATATTATGAACTCTTAATTAAGGCTGTTTTTTAGTGGAAACTGCCTGCAACTGCAGTGAATGGTTTGATTTTCTAGCCACAGCATCAACTGTCTCCAGTGAATGCTGCCCGCGGCTGAACTCCATCCACAATTCTTACCATCTCTAGGTTCCCTGGCTCCTTAAAGATCAGATCCAAACTCGCTGGGGAAGGATTCACAACTCACCCCCCAAAACACACATCACTGTCCAAACACACCATTCGTTTTCATATCTCTGACTCCATCCCCAGCTTGGGATCCTCTTGTTCCTACTAGTTGACCTGCCAAACTTCCCCCTCTTCCTGCAAAGACCCAATGCAAACATCCCTGTCTGGGTAAAAACGTTCATGCCCCAGGCGAATCAAATTCTTTCCTTTTGTATCCCGCAAAGACTCGTGTTCGCATCTCTATTACAACCTTCCATAGAGAACTGTAGTTCTTCACATAGATGCACGTCTGTCCCTCTAGGTTCTGAGGTCCAGGATGGCATCAGTCACGTCCTATTCATATGGCATTTCCAGGGCGTGACCTGGAGACAGGCCCTCAATAAGTGTTTACTGAATGAATGTGAAAATCTTATCAGAGACTCACATTTTGTCAACCCTTTTCCTCAAGTGAACCAACTGGGCCAGAGCTGAAGAATCCATTTTTTAAAAAACGGAGTCATTTAAAGCATTAGTTATCATTCAATATACATTTGTCCCCCATATACCAAGAACCATGGTAGCCAAGGGGACAGGCAATAGGGTGAACAAGACCGACAAGGACCTGGCCCTCAGGGAGACTGCATTCTAGCTAGACAGGCCAACATTAAACATGTAGCTAAATCCACACTGCAATTCTAAATTCTGATGAGGGCTGCAAAGGAAAACCACCAGAAGATGTCATGAAGAGTAACTGGGGTGGGGATGGAGGGAGTATGTGGGAATGTTGGTGGAGGGGAATTCCTGGCCAAAGACCAGGGCATACTCCCTTTTCTACGCCAGAACTTAGATTCATTAACTATATTTTTATAAGGCAGGGAGTAAAAGATGTAGAACACCAAGGAACAGACATTAGTCAGAAGGGTTCTTTTTCAACAATGTTCCTATTATTTTTAGCAAGAATTTTTTTTAATTAAGTAACAATCCCATAATATTCACACTGATGGTTTTTATTTTGCTTACTGCTTTTCAAGTTTTTCCCTTTTTGTTTCAAAAGTCCAAACAGCGGATACCCATCTCCTCTCCACACACACACTCACCTATACCCAGCCTGAAAGGGATGGGAGAGAAGCCAGTCCATAGACCAGCTCTAGGGATATAACCTGATCGCAGGTGCCCTGGGCTGAGGTAACTGGCTATCCTCTTAAGTTTTTTTTTTTAAACACTTATTTATTTTTGAGAGAGTGAGACAGTGCGTGAGTCGGAGAGGGGCAGAGAGAGGGGGAGACACAGAATCCAAAGCAGGCTCCAGGCTCTGAGCTGTCAGCACAGAGCCCAACGCGGGGCTTGAACTCACAGACCGTGAGATCATGACCTGAGCTGAAGTCAGACACTCAACCGACGCTCCTGCTCCTTCTCCCCTCTCTGTCTCTCTCTCCCCTACGAGCCACCCTCTTTCATAGCCAAAGGACTAACAGCAACAATATCCATTTTATAGCTTTCCTTTCTTCCTTTGGGCCTCTAAGAGGGAGATTGCCTCTTATTTACTAGAAATACTATAAAGTTGTAAGCAATTATGCTTCATTTCTCATTATATAGAGAAAGTGTAAAAAATTCTATAGAACAATCATTTTTTGTCTCCTGTTGTAACTTACACAACTCATCTCTGGACTGGAATAGCTCAAATCTTCTAATACCGTATTATGGGACTGCTTTGTGGCTGTTTGTCAGCCCCCTTTTTTTCCTAGATGAAGGACACTCAAATGGTAAATAGAGTCTTGGTGTAGAGGGGGAGGCTGGTACAAAGGTTTCCTGGCACAAGGGGCCTATTTTTTGTTGTTCTTAGAAGCTTCTTTATTACATGTGATCTTAAAACTGTAATACATATATTACAACATGGGGATAACTTCTAGTCACTGATATAACACTTGTCATAGGAAGCTTGCAATTAGCTTTCTTATAATATAGATGTTTCTAAGTGAATTCATCAATTCATTCTTTGTGTGTGTGTGTGTGTGTGTGTGTGTGTGTGTGTGTGTGTGTGTTTTACTCTGTTGATTGTTTTATTGATGATAGTCTTTGGATCAGGTACTCAATTCCCTCCATCACTTCATTCTTTATAGGATGGGTGTCACTGCATTCAATGCAGTTTGCCCTAGATAAAACTGTTCTCCATGGCACTTGCAAGGTGTGTTCTTAGAAACCTCTGTATTTATAGGGCACCTGGTTAAACATCTGACTTTTGACTCTTGATTTCGGCTCAGATCACGATCTCACAGTTCATGGGTTCTAGCCCTGTATCGGGTCCTGTGCTGACAGCATGAAGCCTCCTTGAGATGGATTCTCTCTCTCTCTCTCTCTCTCTCTCTCTCTCTCTCTTTCTTTCTCTGTTCCTCCCCTACTTGCTCGCTCTCTCTCAAAAATAAACCTTAAAAAAAAAGAAACCTCTGTATGACAAATGTACTTAAACACCTCATGCTTATTTAGTGGGTATCACTTCCATCCCTGATATATAACACCGTGTGAACACAGCTTGCAAATATCTTTCTTAAAAATATATTAGAAGTGTTCTTAAATGATTTAATGCATGCATTAAATAATGAGGGTTACTTCCACTCTCAATAATAAACTGGTCATAAAGAGAGATCAAGGGGTTCCTCTCTAAGGAAGCACCATTTACACCAAGAAGGAAAGAATACGGAAACTTCCAAGCAAAAAGCAAAGTGGTGGTGTGGGGGAAGAAGGAGTGTTTCAGACAGCAGTTACAAAGAAGGCGCTCAGAATATCCAGAGAAAGGAGTTCATGGCGTCTGGAGGATGCTGAGAAGTGGGGGAATGTGACTTGGGATGAGGTTGAGGAGAAAGGAAGGGAGGAGATCACGCGTTTGGATGGTTCATTAATGTTCCATTAATGCCAGATGTCTCATTAATCAATAGTTCTTGGAAACCAAGTGCCAAAAACAGTAACTTCAGCAGGTGACCAAGCACACCTCAGTGCAGGTCACTGGGAAACAGTCCACGGAATTCAGAGACCTAAACACTCTGTGGCTATTAGTTCTCACAATTGTGTGTGCTCTTCTCTGTAACTGCCAAATTGTTAAACTATTTCTCCTTCCTGATACATACACATATGGATTGCTAAGAGTCAAGTGTCAAGAGAAGGTTCACTACCCTGCTACCTGGTATTTTACACTTTATGTGACAATACTAGGTGAAATAAGTTGTGGGACAAAATCACTCAAGCAGTATGATCTTAACTATGTACAAGAAAAAACAAGCAAACAAAAAACAGACTAGAAAATAAGAGAGACAAAACACGCCCTCCCAAGCACATATGGCCAATTAATTTACAATGAAAGAAGCCAAGAATATACAGTGGACAAATGGCAGTCTCTTCAAAAACATGGTATTGGGCAAACTGGATGGCCACAAGTAAAAGAATGAAACTGGATCCCTATTTTACATTATACACAAAAATGAACTCAACATGGATTAAAGACTTGAATGTAAGATCTGCAACCATAAAACTCCTAGAAGAAAATACAGGCAGTAAGTACCTTGGCACTGGTCTTGGGAGTGATTTTTTTTTTTTTTTTGGATCTGACTCCAAAAGCAAAAATAAGCAAGCAGGACGATATCAAACTAAAAACCTTCTGCACAGCAAAGAAAACCACCACCAAAATGAAAAGGCCAGCTGCTAAATAGGAGAAAATATTTGAAAATCATATCCAATAAGAAGTTAATACTCAAAATATATAAAGAACTCAGACAATTCAATAGCAAAAAAAAAAAAAATTCAATTACAAAATGAGCAGAAGATCTGAATCAACGTTTTTCCAAAGACATACAGGGGCCAGCAGTTATGTTAAAAGGTGCTCAATATCATCGATCAACAGGGAAATGCAAATAAAAACCTCACACCTGTTAGAATGGCTGTAATCAAAGAGACAAGAAATAACAAGTGTTGGCAGAGATGTGGAGAAAAGGGAACCTTTGTGCAATGGTAATGAGAATGCAAACTGGTGCGGTCACTAGGGAGGTTCCCCCAAAAATTAAAACTAGAAACACCATATGATCCAGCAATTCCACTTCTGAGTATCTATCTGAAGAAAATAAAAACAGTAATTCAAAAAGATATAAGCATTCTCATGCTCACTGCAGCATTATTCACAACAGCCAAGATATGGAAACAACCTCAGTGTCCACTGACTACTGAATGAAGAGATGGCATATATACGCATATATACGCACAGAGTAATAATCAGATATAAAAAGGAATGAAGTCTTGCCACTTGTGACAACATGGAAAGACCCTGAAGGCATTATGGTAAGTGAACTGAGTCAGAGTAAAACAAATACCACATGCTCTCACTCAAATGTGGAATCTTAAAAACAAAAACAAGCTCATAGATACAGACAACGGATTGGACGGATTGGTGGTTGCCAAAAACAGGTGAATGGGTGAAAGAGCTCCAAAGTTATAAATGTC